CGCGCACACACACACACACACACACACACACACACACACACACACACGCACACGCACACGCACACACACACACACACACACACGTTTTTCAAGGGCCGTCGACGACCCGGACCTCCTGGCCGCATTGATGGGCGAGCTGGCGTCCTGTGGGGTCGTCGGGACAAACAGCAAGAGCCGCCCCGTGGTCCTGCGCCATCTGACAGACCGCCTGTTTACGGCGGCCGCGAGGGCGCCGCAGCAAGGGTGGCAGGAGGCCGCCTGGTCGCTGCGCAGGTCTGAGCCCGGGGCGGGACCTGACAGCCCCCGTGTCGGGCGGCGCCGCGTGCGCCCGGTTTCCTTGCTGGCTGAAAGCATTCGGCGCCGCGCCGCGTGGGTGTGTGCCTGCTGGCTGGGGCGCGCCTGTCCGTCGCGGCACTGGTGCCGGCAGTGCTCCCGAGGCCCCCCTTGCTGAGTGCCACCTGCACCCCGCCCGGCACGATCGCGCCCCGCAGCCTGCTGTCTCAGGCGTACAGAGATTTGGAGAAGCTGCGCTCCTGCGAGGAGGGGGGCGGCGGCGGCGGCGGCGGCGCGACCCGCAGCTGGCCGCGGGGCGGCCGCGCCGCGCTGCGGGAGCTGAAGGCGCTGCTCGGGCGGCGCGTGCGCGAGCTGCTGGACGGCGCCGCCGCCGAGCTGCTGGGCGGCGCAGACGGGCGGCAGGCTGGGCAGGGCGGGGACGGCGGCGCGGGCGGATCAGGGGGCAGCGGGGAGGGGCGGCCGCTGCTGACCCTGGTTGACTTTCTGTACCAAGGCCACAGGGGCAAGGCCTTCCCTCTGCCCTATGATCTTGGGCTGGAGCTTTCTGAAGAGGTGGCGCAAGCGCTGCCGTCCCTCAACACCGACAATGTCTGCGCCGCCTTGGGCGACCTCGCGCGCTGCGCCCCGCCGGGCGGCGGGGGCGGCGCGGAGGCGGCGGTGCGGCTGGCGGGGCTGGTGCGCGGCGCGCTGACATCAGCGCCCAGCGGTCTGCACGCGTTCGGCATGGCCGAGTCGATCATGAAGCTCTGGATGTATAAGGAGACGACGCCTGAGGCCCGCGACTCGCTCCGCGCCTGGGCCGCCGCCGCGC